TACCCATTCATCCTTACAATTAAGAACACCACAGTCATAGAAGTCTACAGTGCAAAAAAAGACCCATTGGCTGATTGAGTTTGTACTGGTCAAGCCATACACCTTACAATTTTAGTCCCATTTTCTAGCAGTTGGCCCATTGCCTTTATGCCTTGCCATACCTCTGGTGTACATGTAAATACTTTCTAAATGTTATCAGGGTTTCTGCCTCTACCACCCTCACAGGCAGTGAGTTCCAGATTCCCAACACCCTCTTGGTGAAAAATAAATCCTCATGTCCCCTCTAAGCCTCCTGCCCCTTTCCTTAAATTTATGCTGCCTGGTCACTGAGTCACTCCACCAAATGGGAAATGTTCCTTCCTGTCTACCCTATCTGTGGCCCTCATAATTTTGTACATCTCAATCATACTACCCTCAGTCTCCTCTGCTCCAAGGAAAACAATCCCAGTATTTTGAATCTGTCTTAGTAAGTGAAATTCCCTGTCCTAAGCAACATGCTGATAAATCTCCTCTGCACTCCCTCTAGTACAGTGACATCCCTCCTATACTGTGGATTCCAGAACTGCACCCAGTACTGTAGCTGTGGCCTAACCAATGTTTTATGTTCCAGCATAATATCCCTGCTGTTTAAATTTATGTCTTAACCAATAAAAGCAGGAATCGCATATGCTTTCTAGACCATTTCAACTAAAGGGGCTGGTGTATGGGCACACCAAGATTCCTCTGATCCTCAGTACATCCCAGAGTCCTACCGTTCATCATGTATTTGTTTGTCTTGTTTGTCCTGCCCAATTGCATCGCCTTATAATTATATGGATTGAATTCCATTTGCCACCGATCACACATCTGACTAGCCAATCTATATTATTTTGAAGGTATCCTCCTCACTATTTTCCAACCCAACAATTTTTGTACATTCCGCAAACTTACTGACTGACTGTCTTATATTCAAGTCTAAATAGTTTATATACACCACAAACAGCGACAGCATCAACTCTGATTCCTACGGAACCCCACTGGATGTAGGCATCCAGTCACAAAAACACCTTTGACCATCATCCTCTGTTTCCTGCACTCAGCCAATTCTGGATCCAATTAGCCAAATTTCCTTGGATCCCATGGTCTTTTATTTTCACTATGAAGTGGGAAATTTTAAATGAAAGGAGCACAACAATACTTCTATATAGAGCTTTCATAACTCTTGGACACCTAAAAGTACTTTGCAACTAATTAGGTACTTTTGAATTGTAGTCATGGTAGTATATTGAAAAATGCAGCAGCCATTTGTTTTTACAGCAATGTTCCACAAATAGCAATGGAACAAATGACCAGATATTAACTTCTTTTTCATGATCTTAAGGGATAAATGTTAGTCAAAATGCTAGGAGCACTTGCCAGTACTTTGAAAAGTATCACAGAACTCTTAAATTTCAACCAAATAAAAAATTGGCTAACTGCTAAAAGATCAAAGAATGTAAAGCAGAAAACATCAGAAATGAAAACATGAATGAGTTATGACTATGATTGCCAAATTTCATGGAATTCCCAGTCTTCTCTGGGACTAAAAGATTAAACTCCGAGGCAATAGGAAATTTTGTGCCTTGTTTACAGTATGCAGGCCAACTTCCTGTTCATTGAGAACGGAAAGCAACTGTTGGACTGTGGAAATGTGGGTAATAGTTGGCCTCCACCGTTGTGAGATCACTTTGAGGGAATATATAAATGATCAAGGCACTAGGATGTAAAGCAACGTGTCGTCAGTGATGTGTATGAGTAATTGCAGCCGTTGCAGTGAGTTGCTGAATCCCTCAAATTTACCTGCTTGTTGCGCTATTGTGTAATGTGTGTCAGTTGCAGTCTTCAAACAAATTGAACCTATTTATAGTTTACCAATCACGTGTGGGTGATTGGTAAGTTTGCATTTAAGGAACCCAGAAACACAACTTGGCAGTGATGTTATAAGTATGAAGACCACAGAACGGGGCCACAGACATGATTGTTGCTGCAAAGAGGCTGTATGAGTATTAAAACATTGGGAGGAAGAGTCCCTTAATAGGTAAGACTTTGCAAAACAGTGAGTACCTTATTTGGGGAGACAGCTGGATTAATTCAGAGTTGCACTGTGCAATCAGTTTTGAATTGGGTAGAAAAACTCCAGGTCCATTGAGCTGTTCTTGGGTGCCATGCCTGTACAAATGACAAAAAAAAGTATGAAATTGAAAAATAATGCGTGTGGCCATATCCTGAAATGCAGCCATAAAAGAGGGAACTTTTTTTTAAAAATGGCAACTTCGTTGCTGAGTCTCTCCTGGTGTAGAGGGGTTACAAATACCCTATGCTTGGGAGTTTGAAAGTTTATCGGTATGAAAGCGTAGGCCCTATCAAAATGTAGGCATTTTAAATTAAGGATTGAATTATGCTATTCAGATTTATCTGTCACAGAACAACAATCGCTGAAAATAAATTATAGCTAATTGGAAGCAAGCAGCTGCATGGAATCAACATTTTGGACCTGCCTGAGGAAGACCAGGTAGTCTCTGGTAAACTTTAGAACATGTTACAAAATAGCTTTGTATTAGTAAAATTGAATTTCAGAATGCACCAATGGGAGCTGATGGCTGACAGGTAACAGCCCTCCACAAGAATCAACTATCGAAAGAGCACAGACTGCAATTTTTGAAGCCTAAATGCTTGAATGGGTAATGGGATAAAAGTTGCTTCAAAGCTGATCAAAGTCTTCTGAAAATAACTTTCTGGAGAAGAAGAATGATCACGATATTGTCACACTACTAAAAGATTTCAGAAAATAAGAGTCATTGTTGCTGAATAGGAACTGGGTAATGTGTAAGCCAAGGCCACTGCATAGTATGCCGAGTGGGAGGAGATTAGAGTCGCCAATACAGGAAACCTGATTCTGGGGTTGCAATCAGGAGGACCATCAGCACTTGTTTAAGTCGTGTAAACAGGTATTGTCAGAAGAAACATGATCTACGGTATTACAACCCAAGAAAGAAAGCAGTCTTGGAGGGCAATGCATCTCCAAAAGGGTTACGAGCATATCTTATGCAACGTGAAAAGCCGACATTTGCCTCTAAACATCTTTTGCAAAAGCAATCCAACTATTAAAAAATGGAGGGTGAGACACTTGTTCTGGTGTCTCAAGATTCCAAACATACTTATTTGATAGATGAGTTGTTATGGAAACTGACTGCAAACAATTGGAAATAATTTGGCACAAGTCACTGATAAGTGTACACCCAGATTACAGTGACTTGAAATAAAAATGAAGTGACACCATCTATGAAATCACCTATCAAGTAGGTAGCAAGCTAATTACTTAGCTGTCCAGAGAGCTGTTCTGGCAACTCGCCTGAAGGTGTCAAGGGAGATTAAAAGGGAGAAATGCACTACAAATGGATTATCCAGAGATCATAGAATCTTTAGAATCTCTACAATGTAGAGGCCCTTCGGCCCCTCATGTCTGCACCAGCCCTCCAAAAAGCAGCACACCCGATCCCCATAACCGCACCCATTTTATTTTTACCATGGCTAATCCACCTGGTCCGCACATCCCTGGACACTACAGGCAATTTTGAGTGGCCGGTCTACCTAACCCACACATCTTTGGACTGTGGGAGGAAGCTAGAGCACCTGGTAGAAACCCACGTAGACACAGGGAGAACGTGCAAACTCCACACAGGCATTTCCCCAAGGCTGGAATCACACTTGGTCCATGGTGCTATGAGGCAGTTGCGCTAACCTCTGAGCCAGCGTGTTGCCCAACCTATCTTCTATATAAACAGTTTTTGCAACTGCCGTACTATGTATTTTCACTCTTAAGTTATGTGATGTGAACTTTAGGAAAAAAAAAGGCATGTTGGATTATCTATTTAAAAGAAGATGCAAATGATCAAGAAACCAGAATATAAAGCGAGAAGTAACCAGCAGCCATTTAATTATAACTCACTCAGAGATAGTAAGAACTGCAGGTATTGGAGTCAGAGATAACACAGTATGGAGTGGAGGAACACAGCAGGTCGGGCAGCTTTCCTGATTCTTTGCTGCTGCCTGGCCTGCTGTGTTCCTCCAGCTCCACACTGTGTTATCCCTGCCACTTAATTATATATTGGAGTAGTTGCAGCTATTGCTAAGAGATACTGTGGTTGCTGAATCTCTACATTATACCTGTTTGTGAGCTATTCTGTAACGTGTATATATTATACATAACATATATATTAGTTGGGGTGTTGAAATAAATTGAATTTACTTACAATTTACCAATCTTGTGTGGTTAAATCAGTGAGTTTGGATGAGGAACCCAGAAACACAACAGACAACAGCACTTGGGTAAGTGTAGATAATGTGGTTTTCAGGGTGTTTTCCTGGTATAAAAGCAGGAAAGATTTTGAGAATAGGTCTAACTTTGACTATGTGGCCTAGTGGATCAGAAATGAAAAATAAACGTACTGATTTTGAATTACCTACTTCTAGAGCTTAACTCACTTGACTTTGAAATGAAAGTTGCAGCCTTGGCTGTATGATGTCATGAGAACTCAAACATATATTGTAAAATAAAAGAACCCACTGGATTTTCTGATGACCAGGCTAAAGATGGAGAACATGGAATGCAAGTGGGGCATTGGTGGATAAATGACCTGGTCTGTTTTAAATGCTAAGCTACCTGGTTTCAGCTGAGCAGATAGGTTGGAAATCAACTGCATGGTTTAAGAGTTAAAATCATTCTTCACCTACTTTCAGTTGCCATGATCTCTGGACACACCTTTTGCAGCAAAGTGATCCTTCTTGTCAAAGACCTGCTGAGCTAAAATTTTCTTGCAAGGCTGTGTAATTGTAACTGAAAAAGAGATAACATAAATGTGGCTTTTGGGAAAACAAGGCATCTAATCTAATTTAATCTAATCTTGTGTGCACTTAACAATATGAAGCAGGTTCCTATACAGAACAAATATTGACCTCATTCTGTTTCATTTGTTTATCAGAATCGGTATGTCCTACAAGAATCCCTGTAGCTGCACGTGATGAGAAAGGTTTTGAATTAATTGTGGGCTTTAAAATACCACAAAAAGCTCAGGAAATATCTGGATCATTGACGACAGAAGCAGGTTTCTTATTGACATCTCAAACAGACGTGACGGAGAATACTAGGTATGGCTTACGGTTGAAACACTAATAATACGTACAAGCCTTTCCTAATTCACAAAATAAATGACAGGAAAATAAATCAAGTCCATACTGTAACATGTCAAAAACACATCTAAGGCCAAGGCTTTCAGCTGGTGGAACTAACATAGGAGGTACACTTTGGGCTGTACTTTTCTTTAATGGAATTAACCACAATATTATCAGTATATCCAACCTACTTGATCCTGAGGAAGTCCCACTTTTCTTTTATTCTTAGACCATGCAAATCCAACTTGACCAACATGTTTTCTTTGAAAGCCAGTAAAATCATGAGTCCATGATTTTAAAACTACAGCATTTATTTCAGATTAGATTAGTGATAATTTTGCAGGATTTCTAAAGTTAAAATGGAGACTTTCTCCTGGAAAGCATAATCTGTGCAAATAACTAAAAAGGAAATGGTCTTATATGGAACATCAGCAGTAGATTGCATGGGAAGTCCTGAATATTATGATGAGAATTAACAAATGTTCATGAAAAGTCTCCTTTGAAAAGTATTGGTATTTTGCCAAGGAATATTGTTCTTAGGTTAAAATTTGTATAGACCTCATACAGGAAATTTAATCACATACTTTTACAGACATTACTGTAATAATTTAAGCTGAACTGACATATTGAAACCAAGGTAAGCATCTAATGGCAAAGTAATTTGTACTTGTATCTCTACAACGTTAGAAACAGTTAATGTTAAACAGTTACATCATTTAAGAAAAGATAAATGGAAACTGTGTTTTGGACCATGATGTTGTGCTTAAATATAACAATTAGCCCATGTTATGTTTCCTTCATGATTTGCTTGTTTGGTTGTGTATAAGAAAATCAGGCAGATTGTAAAAGAATTGACCAATTCCTTATTCCTTGTTGTACTCTACCAGCCAGGATGAGATATTATCCTCGGTAATATTTCATTAGGAATCATACATAGTAGAAACAAATAATAAATGATTTATTTTAATTAAATCCAGTACACCAGTCAGAATAAGATAACAAGGTGTGGAGCTGGATGAGCACAGCAGGCCAGGCAGCATCAGAGGAGCAGGAAAGCTTGTTATCTCAGACTCCAGCATCAGCAGTTCCTACTATCTCTGAGTGAGTTTCCACATCAGTCAGAATACCTGATAACCAGATTATCTGGAGCCATTGGTAACATTTGTGTTTGTAACCTTGCAAGTTATCTATGTAGATTTCACTTCCTATCAGATGCTGTTTGCATCTTAGTGCTAAATAGACTGTGTGCCCATAATTTCACTTCAACATAATATGGCTTTTAGTATGGCTTGGCAGAAAAGTCATGTCTTTTACCAGTAAGAACCTGAGTATCTGAGTTATATTGGCAATTAGAGGGTCTCAGCACATAAAATACACTTTCCATTTTATTGATTAAAAATTTGGAAGAGTAACATTAGTTTTGAGTGGATTTCCACTCCTCTGAACTTCCTTCACAATTACACATTTTTGCGTTGCTCTCCAAAATCTCCCCAACCACCACAATGTTTAGAATAGATAGTTTAGAAGTCATCCCAAAAGCTAGATGTTGGGATTTCTTTAGAGTAAGTCCTTTGGAACACACGCTGCTGAGACAGTTGGTGGGTATGGTGATGCTATATGTTTTTAAAAGAGATCTTGGAATTCCCTCTGCAAAGGCATTGGGGGTTAATTTACAGCATGTAGACTGCAGCAGTTAAAGTAGCAGCTCACCACGACCACCTTCTCAAAGACAACCAGTGATGGGCAATAAAATTCTGGCCAACCAGCGATGTCCACGTTCCACGAGTGAATTAAAAAATTCTTGATAGATTACTGAGACAGGAAGTCATCTCCAATTACAGATGACAAGTTACTTGTTAATTGTAATTTGTGATGAGTCATTGTGGAACTGATGCTGACTTCACTAGTTGGAGAGGGATTTCTCAGGTTTTGTTTCTAAATTGACAAAAGATTATGTTTTCTTTGGTTCTCCTAAGGGATAGCATGGATTACAGTTGAGTAAATGGTGCATGAGAATGCTCATTCAACTCAATAGGGTAGAGTTGATGGTCTTTTCCTGTCCTTTCCTTTTGTTGATATGCATTCTTCCACTAGATTAGGAGCCTTTTGAGCTTTAAACTTCTTTCCAAATTAGCATTTTGATTACAGTGCTACAAATTTAGAAGTCATCCCAAAAGCTAGATGTTGGGATTTCTTTAGAGTAAGGCCTTTGGAACACATGCTGCTGAGACAGTTGGTGGGTATGGTGATGCTATATGTTTTTAAAAGAGATCTTGGAATTCCCTCTGCAAAGGCATTGGGGGTTAACTTACAGCATGTAGACTGCAGCAGTTAAAGTAGCAGTTCCTATTGTCTGTATACAAATCGTACACCAACTTTAGTTGAGTGGCAAGTGCTTGGTTAAGTACAAGTATTCCTGGTTGCTTTACAAGTTATCTAGCCCCACTATGAGTTTTGTAAGGATGTTAACTCTTCTGTCTCCCTCACTATTGAAATTCATTGAATAAGTTGATGTTGGTTCATTGGTAGACAATATATGAATTAAACTAGCCCCAGAATGTTACGTCCTGTCCATCTTAACCTAAATATCCTTTATCTCCTCTGCTATGCATTAGGTTCTGTTGGTCAGTTTCTCTGGCACTGAAAATCAACGATTACATGGGTAGAGTGTCAATCTTTGTGGTTCAAAACATGCTTTCTCTTATCTTTTCTCCCTCTTAATCCAATATTCTCTGATGTTTATTGCTCTTTCGCCATCTGATTATCTGCAGCCAAACGTAAGGTCAAAATTCAGAATGTTCCCTGATGACTGCACAATGTTCAGTACCATTCACCAGTCCTCTGTTACTGCCCATGTCCATATGTAGCAAGACCTGGACAACAACCAGGCTTGGGCTGATGAGTGGCAAGTAACATACATGCCACACAAATTTCATACTGTGACCATCTCAAAGCCTGTCCATCATCAACAAGGCATAAGTCGGAAGTGTGAAGAAATACTTCCCATTTACCTGGATGAGTGCAGTTCCAAAACATTCAAGAAACTTGACATATATCCAGGACAAAGCAGATTACTTGACTGGCACCATATCCACCACTTTCAACGTTCAGTCCCTTTACCACTGAGCTAGAAATTTGTACCATTTACAGCATGCGCTGCAGCAACTCGCCCAGGTACCTTCTAACAGGATCTTCCAAATCTCACCATCCAGAAGAAAAGGACAACAAATGCATGGCAATGCTATCACCTGCATGTTTCCCTCTAGCCTACACACAGTCTTGGCTTGGAACTACATCTGTGCTTCTTCACCTTGCTGGATCAAAATTCTGGAATTCCTCTTCAGCAGCACTTTGGGTGTACCTGCAACACATGAACTGCAGCAGTTCAAGAAGGCTGCTCATCACCACCTTCTCACGGGCAACTGTGATGGGCAATAAATGCTGGCCTAGCCAGCATCCAGACCCCATGAGTGAATGAAAAAAATTGACATTGTGCTCACTTACTCCTTCTTAGATGTTATGCTGTAAATTTCACAATCCTTTATTCTAATTGGTGAAGGCCGTACGCGATGTTTGCCGTGTTCACCAGATGCCAGATGCCCTAATTCCCTCACTGCAATGCTATTAACATACATATCCACCAATTTGCCATGCATAAAATTATAAAAATCTAAAGCATAATGGCAAGTCTTACTTACAGTTAGCAGATTTATGGCCTCAATGTTTCAAAGTAAGGCTGAAGTAGGATTTAATGAATGCCAAAACATGGCCATAGGTCTCAAATGCATTGCTACAACAGAAACATTTTTATAAAGTGGCAAGTACCTATGAAAAATACAGATGTATAATTCTGAAATCAGAGCCCACATCTACCTCTGTTTGTTTGGATATGAGAAATATAATAATGTTTATATACTTCCAGAGACATATTTCCAGAGGGCCTGCCTCCTTCTTATGTATTTGTTGCTACACTACGTTTGCGAAGTCCAGCCAACAAACAGAAATTTGACTTATGGCGAATCTTGTCTAAAGAAGGAATTATTCAAGCAGCTGTCACAATTGATGGTGAACAACAGGCTGTGTTCTTTACTACTACAAGTCTGGTCAATGAAATCCAGACAGTGACATTTAAAGATGGCAAACTACAGGTCAGTGTGTTTGTTATTATATGCTTTGTGATACTTCTCTTCAAATTTGAGGTCAATGGAATGGGCTGAGTAAATTGTATGAAGTTATCAAATGTATCTTTTTCTGTTTTGGAGTTTGAATGTTTATCTGGATAAATTTGGAGATTAACTATTATGTTGTAGAGCACAAACAGAAAGTTTATAAGGGCATTAGGGCCAAATGGGTAGTCTTGTTTTGGCTGCTTGTTATATCCCCTGCACAATTTTCACCATCTATTTAGGGACATACCCAAGTAGGAACTTCTATCCTGTATCATTTGAAGAATTTAAGAATTATTACTGCCACTACTTCAATTAACAAAGATTTTTTGATCATATTTATGTATATAAATTAGCATAGGTTAAAGCAATGGCCACATACCTTGTTTGATTATATTTAGTGAAATTGTAGGCCTTACCTAACTGGCAGAATACCCCTGATATCACTCCAGATGTAAGAACTGCAAGCGTTGACCTCATGCTTGGTGGAAGCTAACTGCTTCGCCTTGCCTATTTCTTCTTTATGCAAAGATGTTCAGATCAATTTGCTCCATAAGAAAGCAAGGGTTATAATTTTTGAAACCTCTTCCACATTTTGTCCACTTTCTGGTATATTGTGCCATCTAGTCATACAGATCTTACTGTTGTCTGGAGTGAAAGGCATAATTTATGTTTAATCTACAGTCGATCCTATGCGTTGTGTTCTACACAGTGGTTTTAAAGCTATTTTAATATATGAATATGTCAAGACTTTTGGTTATACTTTGGAGCTTGAATATTCCCTCTGTTGGAATATGGGAATGAATGATTAGCCATAAAAGAGCTGTAAAGCTATATGAGTAATTTGTGTAAGCATCATTGCAATGGATAATATTTATGTGGCTACTTTTAAATGCAATGTTTTTATATTTTTGCAATGCTCCTTAATTTCCCAGTTTGCACCACTGTTCAACAAGGTTTTAGAATGAGGTCCAGCATGGATCAGAAACTTCAGCTGTGTAGTAAGTTATGGCTGCTGCAGGGATGTTGTTCCAACTGCAGACCATAAGGGCATTAAATATACCACACCCATCGCTTTTCTAGCTCTATCAAGGTCGTTGCATTGAATAGGATTAATTCATGTATTGGGCTAATGCAGTTGTTTTAAATATCATTCAGCCTGATTGATCAAGCAGCTCTTTTCATCTCAAAGTAGGGTTCCTGTGTGAATATTTGATGTCACATCATAGAGATCAACAGAATGCTGTTGCCCTTCATTTGGTGTGCGTAGATGCATCAACTGTACGTTATTTGACATAGTTTTAAATTTAGTGTATCATATGTAGCGAATTTAACATTTTAATGTATTGTTTAATAATATAGTTGCATTATGTTTTTCTTTGCATCTTCCCTGGTAACCTTGAGTTGGAATATGTGCCATGGCTGGGTGCCCAAAGAGGGAAATGTTCCATTCACCAGCTTAATGTCCTTTTCTCTAACCCGTCCACCCTCAGATAACATCAATAATGGACCATTTCAGCTGTGAAAAGAAACAGTGGAATAGCTTCCAAGTTTTTGACTAAAACTAAACCGACTGTGTGGAAAATGTAAAAATACAGACTTGTGTTTTTTGGCATCAAGAAAATAAGTCTAACAAAATACCGTGGCGAAAAATTCTTTTTGACAATATTCTTGTTTATTTCGAGATTAATTTGTCAATTCAGGTAAAGTGATAGCTATTGGTATAAATGCATATAGGCTGAAGTGGATGTAGTGTCTGCTTCCACATGGACCTTTCATACTGTTTGGGCTTTCACAGCGTTTTCAGCAGATCAGAATTATGGAACCAATTGTAATATTTTCTTGTGTGACAGAAAGTGGAGTTTCATTACTTAATAAGCTCAAGAAAAATAATGAAACATGACGGAAGGTATAAGCCTAAGTGTCTGGTTTCAGTCATTTTCATTATGTCAATTTCTGATCAGACTCCGACTTATTTATTGATGGTGTCATGAGCTTGGCTCAACCTGGTCAGGTAATCAGTACAGCCATCTTAAGTCATTGTTTCTTTACTTTATAAATCCAATTTTGGTTCATTGAATGTCTCTGTATTAAAATCAGATGACAGAAGTTAAAAATTAATAGTGGTTAAAATGGACTATCTTAAAATTTCCACATATATATTAGTGAACATAGCTCTCATTCCATTACCGTGCTTTCCTCTAATCTGTTCTTCTGTTCTCCTCTGCTCTGCTAATGTCAGAGTAATCCATTATATCACTATCATTAACACATTATAATACCCATTTATATACTGTGCTTCCATTATACTACAACATGCCATAGATTTCTTTCTTACTTGGATTATATGATTCTAGCAATTTGTTTTTAATTAATGTACACTGCCATTCTTATCATTAACATCATTATCTCGATCGACACGATTCCCCTCCCCCGCTCTCCACAAAATCTATCCCACAGTCAATATGATTTGGAACTCTCAGTAGTCACCCCGCTCTAATTTGTTTAATTTTCACAGGAGGATGATGATTCTCCACCATTCCTGCAACTGCTGGACCATTCTGTAAGGTATTAGGTGGTGGTACAATTGTGTCTCTCTCACAACCTGTGATAATCATACTCCGTCTCGCTTCTAAGCTGGAGTAAGATGCATTCCTGTTTCTGTTGAACATTTCTTCAGGTTCATTGAGTATATATGGTCAATTGATCTGCTCCCCTAAGAAATGTTGCCTCTACTTGTCTGTCATTTATCCAGATTTTTTGACCTGCTGTCAAAATTGAGTGTTTTTTTTTTACCCATTTTATACCAATTCTGCTGTTTCCTTCTGTGGTTTACTACCTCCTTGATCTTCTAATGATCATGAGATATTATGTTCAAACTGAGATTATGTCCTCCACAGTGGTTTTTCTGTTTGTAATCTTCCTTCCAGAAGTAGTTCTGCAGGTGAATATTGCTGAATAACGCCAATGTTCAGCCTGCGTTCTTGGACATGAATAACTTTCTGGTCTTGACCACCATGACTGCTTCTCTGTTTGACTGAGGATGAAATGGAGAACTTGAACCTGGTTGTAACCTGCCACTGAAGTGAACTTTCTAAATTAAATTCCTTGTTCACAAATGTTGGACTGTTATACAAAACTATTTACCAATGAGAAAATTTGTGTTGCAAAACCTCATTTAAGTGCTATAATCACTGACTGAGCTGTATTTATATGAAGCCTTGAAATTTCAAACTATGTTGAATAATAGTCTACCAGGCTTGGAGGTGTCTTCCCTTTGAAGTCAATTAAATCTATTATTAGATCAACCGCAGTGTCTTTCTGGATCACGATTGTTTACTGAAGCGCTCAGACCGGGGCAAGTAATTGATTTTTTTCCCCTTTCTTCACTCAAAGTCTTCCAAATAACTGTTATCCAGCGTCTTCCCATTTTGCTGCTGTATCTTTTTTTCTCCTGCCTCATGGACTATGACCTGCCTAAAATGTAACAATTTTGAAGTCTCTCTTGCTGAAATTGAAGTTTAACATGTTTATACCACCGCAATGAACCTTTAGGTGATTATTATCTTAAGAGCACACTTGGACTATATTGTGTTTCTCTGGGCATTGGGTTCTACCCATATATTCTATTTCCTTTTTTATTAGGTTGTCATTATTGCCATTGTCTCTAGAAGCCCTAGTTCATCCTCATGTTCAAGTAAGGCTCTTTCACTGTCTCATATACTGTAACAGTCTTCAGTTATGTGCATATTACTGAATACAACTCTCCAGGATAGTGAATAGTCCAGCTCCTTTCATGCCTCTCTCTGGTCTGTTCTTCTCATTTACTCTGCTAATATCAGAGTCACATCACAAAAAATGCTGGATGGAAGATTCTGAAGAGGATTCATACTGGGCTTGAAAGGCTAACTCTGTTTCTCGTCCATGGATGCTGGCAGATCTGCTCAGTTTCACAAGCGTTTTTCTGTGCTTGTTTCAACTTTCCACCATCCACAGCATTTTGTTTTTGTCTTGTCAGAGTCATGTCATCAGTTATGACACCATCATTAACAGATTCATATTACAACTACTGTCCTTGAAATGAGAAGCCTTCTCTTACATTGTGTCTCTGTCATGTGTCAATGGTTTGAACACTCTTGATAAACTGCCTGCAGGTTAATGACTTCCCTGCTGGCTTTGTCTCCCTCCTTACTGGCCTCCAGTGTCTTTAGGCCACACTTGATGGCAGGCATGTTGCTGCTCACTGAGACATCTCCCCGCTCTCCCTCCTTGTCCTATCCTCCTCCTCAGATGAGATGCCTCCACCAGGAAACATAGCCCTCATTTGGCACAAAGAGGATTGGGAGCTGTAGCCAAATTTTGTTGCAGACCACTCTGACAGTGATTTCCTTGAAAACTAAGAATGGGACAAATGACAACAGAGATTTGATTTGATTTGTTATTGTCACGTGTACCGAGATACAGTGAAAAGTATTGTTTTGCATGCTAACCAGACATATCATACCTTATGTAAGTACATCAGGGTAATAGAACAGAATGCAGAATATAGTGTCGGAGATAGCAAGAACTGCAGATGCTTGAGTCAGAGACAACACAGTGTGGATCTGGAGGGACACAGCAGGCCAGGCAGCATCAGAGGAGCAAGAAAGCTGACGTTTTAGGTTGGGACCCTTCTTCAGAAATGGGGAGGGGGAAGGGAGCTGGGAAAGGAGGGGTGGGGCTGTGGAAAGGTAGGTGGGATGGTGATAGGTGAATGCAGGTGGGAGTGGTAGGAATTGGTCAGTGTGATGGGTGGGGCAAATAGGTGGGAGAGAAGATAGATAAGTTGTTTCGGGTCAATGAGGTGGGGGTGAGGGGTGGGGCTGGGGAAAGGTAGGTGGGGCGGTGATAAGTTGGCTGCAGGTAGAGGGAATTGCTCAACAGGAAGGGTGGGGCGGATAGGTGGGGAAGAAGATGAACAGGTTGTGTCAGGTCAAGGAAGTGGGGATGAGAGGGATGTTTGGATGTGGGATGAGGCTGGGGCTGGGAAGATTTTAAAACTGGTGAATTCCATGTTAAGGCCATCAGGCTGTGGGCTCCCGAGGTGAAATATGAGGTGTTGCTCCTCCAGTTTGCGGGTGGTGTCACTGTGACACTGGAGGAGACCCAGGATGGGCATGTCACCCATGGAGTGGGAGGGGGAAGTTAAAATGGTTGGTGACTGGAAGGTGTTGTTTGTCGCGTACAGAGCACAGATTCTACACGAAACGGTCCCTGAGTCCACGATTGGTCTCACTGATGTAGAGGAGGCCTCGGGAGCCTTCAGCCCGATGGCCTTAACGTAGAATTTACGCCCTCAAACCCCCTCTCCCCCCAACAAAAACAAAGACAGAATCCCCCTTGTCCTCACATACCACCCCACCAACCTCTGCTTCTAGCGTATCATTCTCCGCCACTTCCGTCACCTACAATCCGACCCCACACCTAAAGAGAAATTTCCCTCCCTATCCCCATCTGCTCTCTCTGCAACTCCCTCAACTGCTCCAAATTCCCCAGACACCCCACCACTCCTGGCACCTTTTCCTGTAACCACAGGAAGTGCTACACTTGCCCCTACACACACCCCCTCACCTCCATTCAAGACCCAAAGCAAACATTTAATATCCGACAGGAGTTCATCTGTACATTGTCCATCTTGATCTACTGTATCCACTGCTCCCGATGAGGCCTCCCCTACATCGGTGATACCAAGTGCAGACTCCGGGACGGTTTTGTGGAGAATCTGTGCTCTCTACGTGACAAACGACAACACCTTCCAGTCAACAACCATTTTAACTCCCCCTCCCACTCTGTGGGTGACATGTCCATCCTGGGCCTCCTCCAGTGTCACAATGACACCACCTGCAAACTGGAGGAGCAACACCTCATATTCTGCCTCAGGAGCCCACAGCCTGATGGCGTTTAACATAGAATTCACCAGTTTTAAAATCTTCCCATGCCCAGCCTCATCCCACATCCAAACATCCCTCTCATCCCCGCCTCCTTGACCTGACACAACCTGCCCATCTTCTCTCCCACCTATCCGCTGCACCCATCCCACTGACCAATCCCCACTACTCCCTACTGCATTCACCTATCACCATCCCACCTACCTTCCGCAGCCCCACTCCGCCTCTCTCTATTTATCTCCCAGCTCCCTTCCTCCTTCCCATTTCTGAAGAAGGGTCCCGATCCAAAATGTCAACTTTCTTGCCCCTCTGATGCTGCCTGGCCTGCTGTGTTCCTCCAGCTCCACACTGTGTTGTGCAGAATATAGTGATACAGTTACAGAAAAGGTGCAGAGAAAGATCAATTCTGATATATGAGACTTACGTTCATAAGTCTGATATCAGCGGGGAAGAAGCTGTTCTTAAATCTGTTGGTATGTGTTTTCAAACTTCTATATCTTCAGACTGATGGAAGAGGGTGGAAGAGAGTATAATCAGTGTGGGAGGGATCTTTGGTTATGTCGGCTGCTTTCCCGAGGCAGTGGGAAGTATAGAAGGAGTTAATAGAAAGAGAGCTAGTTTTCGTGTTGGACTGGGCAGCATTCACGACTCTCTGTAATTTCTTGAGGACTTGGGCAGAGGAGGTGACATTATTTCACTGACCTTATGTTCAAAGTAAGCATTGAGCTCATTGGGGAGGGTTGCATTGCATCAACAATTCTACTTGACTTTGCTTTGTAGCCCATAATATCGTGTAAGCCTTGCCATAGACAATGTGCGCTCATGTAGTTAGTCTGGGGCTCTAGTTTAGAAGGTCTCTTGGTGTCCTTGATGGCTTTGTGAAAGTAGTGATCTTTGCACCATCTTCTGCAGATGGTGAAAATGAAAAGAAAAGCCTTTCCAGACGATGGAGCTAACCTTAGCAGCTAACTCCAAAGCCATGTGTTGCAGGTGTTTTTTTCTCTGCTCCTGTTCACCCATGAATTAATTGTTGTTATTCCTGCTCACACGTTCAGCCCATGCCCCGATCCATGTAAATGATCTGTATCGATTTGTGCTAATTGCTAATTAAGTTCTTTTAATTGAGTGTGGGTTGGGTTCCAACTTTTGAACTTGCCCACCTCCTGCATTATCAAAACCAGGTGGGATGAATCTCTCCCAATGCCATCCTGATGTGAATTACAGTGTATCAGGACGACTTTTTGCATGTTGCCCTGTTAAACCTAGCCCCTAATAAACTTGCTTCAGGAAGGAATTAATAAAACAACAAATACATGTTCATATGTGAAGGGAAGCTTTCATTATAAGTTCTATCTAATAAAACTTTTCACATTTTCCATACATTAGAAAGAAATTTAACTGGTGCATTAAAATAAATGTAACTTTTTGTAAAAATTTGAATGATCAGAATATTTTCTTTCAAGGCTCTACTCATAACACAAAATGGAACAAAATAAATCATTGGAGGGTTGCTGGAGTGGATTGGTGGGGGAAGAAGATCCTTTCTTAGGGCTTATTGGAGGACAATTGAGAGTAATTGATGTAGCATTGCAGAATGCGGGAAATAAATGCAGAGTCCTGAATTTCAACTCACACGTAACAATAGACACACAATGGAGTGATAAGATTTCTGAAAGAGTATCAGCAATTTCAAAATAACTTAAAAATGCTTTTATTCCATTCAATAGAAATTGTTTGATGAAGACTGGCATCAGTTGAAGTTATTGGTATTAGAAATGGAGGTCACCTGTTTCTTGGACGACATAAAGATTCAGAGCAGACATCTTGAGCAAGTCATTCCTATATTTATAAATGGGAAAACCCAGGTGGCCAAACATGTGAAAAGAGAGACGTCTGTACCTGTAAGTAAAAGATCTAAGTGCTCCTTACATCACTACATGAACTTAGTGGAAGTTTTTCAAACACAAATATCTTCATTTGTTTGAGAAACAGTTCTTTTCATTATTTAGGAGGATTATGTACATAAACATAGTTGCTCAGTGTATGTTAACTGTCTTAATAAAAGTCAAGGAAAATTAGGATACTTTGAGTTCTTATTTGGGTTACTTGGATTACGAATAGTTGCTTAGTAGTACAGGGTACTACTGTCTGAAAGGGTATACTGGTGAACATTTTCATAAAGTCATAGAGCTTGCAACCATCAGGAAAGAATCTCAAGAATTCCAAATCTCAAAGCAAACAGCAGTTTATACTGCAACAGAAAGAAGGTTGGCAAGTGAACTCTGAGTAATAGAGGTATTGCAGTGGCAAACAATGACCGTTTAATTGCCAAGCTTGTGTTTAAATTCAAACCAGACAAGTTGGCTGATTCAGGGATAGTAGGAACTGCAGATGCTGTAGAATCTGAGATAACAAGGTGTAGAGCTGGATGAACACAGCAGGCCAAGCA